CATTCAAACCGTAACAACAAAGATTAACTTCGATGATGAAAGTGGATATGTACCCATTCAGATGCCACAAACATGGGACCCAGTTGTAGAAATAATGAAGTTAAGCACAAGGTTACTGAAACAGTCTGTGCATACTTCCAGAAATACAGAAGAATGTGCAATAAGGTAAAGGGTTTTGCATTTATATTAAAGGATTGATAAAAGAAACTCTAGGAAAAAAAGGCTAAAGATTTAAGTAAAAATAAATGTGAATAATGGTTCTAAGCAGGCAGGGGAAATAAACGTTCACAACTTATACTCACTTTGTATTTAGTGTGGCATCATCATACCGGAAAATCTGGGATCCTTTATTTTTAGGTTAGTGTACATGAAAAGGATATATATATATATACACACACACACACACACACACACACACCCCACAGGTTTAAAAAGCAGGCAGTCAGATCCAGCAGTGTTTACTAAGGAAGCCATGAAATACAATAGGAAGCAGACTTTAATAGTCCCTAACCATTTATTTTCCATTTTTACACAATTCAATGGTGTGGGATCTTCTAGCACTGAGTGCTGTGTCTTTGAGAGCTGAAATTAATTTCCCATCTTAGAGAAAGGAGTCATCAGTGCCAAAACCCTTAGTGACCTGTTATACCTTTCCAGCTGATAGGTAGCCATTGTTATACCTTTCCAGCTGGTAGCCATTTTCCATGAGAGCAAAATGGTGTTGGTGTGTGAAACTGTACAATTCAATCCTTTTATATAGTGACCTCATACAAAGGAGCTAGAAGCCTTTAAAGGAAGAGAAATTGCTTCAGAAGAATGAATCCTGTGTTTAATAGAAAATGCTCCTTAAAAAAAAAAAAGGTTTGCTGACTACTTTAAAATGCTTCTCTTTTTCCACCTCCTCTCCTTTTTCCCTCCGGTTGTCTAGGACCAGCTACTCTCTGTCTCTCTATACAATCGCACCATTGTTGGTGTGAGAGCTTTCTCCTCAGTACCAACTGCCATCTGGAAGAGCCTTCCTGTATCTTTCTGCCTCATCAGCTCTCCATTTGTTTTCAATTCTGAGCTGAAAACATATCTTTCCTCCCTTGCCTTGGAGTTTTAATTGCTCTCTCCACAGTTATAGTTATGCGCTCAATAAATGTATCATTTGGCTCTCTGAAGTGTGCAGGGATACGGACAATGTGAGAGATGGTAAATCGAAAAGTCACACATTGGAGTGTAGTGTTTTATTTTTTTCTGAATGTTCTGCCCTCACTTTTCCAGGTGAGATGTTGCATTAGTAACTGGTTACCACCCACTACAGCAGACAAAAGCCCATCTGTCACTTACTGTTATATAAACTAGGCATCTTCAGCTCCACTTTGATGATTCTAAAATCACCTAAGTAGCAAGCAGGGGAGGGCAGGAACAGAGGACTAACTAGAAGAGTTACTAACCAAAAATGTTTGGTTAGTAACATAGGGCTCATGGCCATTAGATCAGCCATAGCTAAGGAGACAGAAAAGACACACAAATGCAAAGGGGCAAACTGAGGGAAACTTTGAGTAAAAGTTGCACCTGCAGAAATGGAAAGATGAACTTGATCCTAGTTTAAAAAGGCAATAACCCTCAGATGTATTTTTAACTGTTGCCAAGAAGAGAAATGGAAATGACAATAGCAACATTTTCTTTCAAAAATATAAATTCTTTGTTATTTATTCTGCCTCAATATTGATGTACCATTAGGAGAGTTGGAAAGAAAAAATGAAAATCTTCCTATAAAAGTAAGACCCACTGTGCACACAGCAAGTGTTCTGTGAGTGAGTAAATGGCTTTTGACACCTATGCAGCCACCCTGAGGCCTCTTTGTGGGAAACAGTAATCCTCTTTGTTGAATGTCCTTTTAGCTAGCTAGGACAAGGGCATCTGCAAATCTCACTGGAGAAAAGAACAGCTACCAAATTAGAGATTCAGGTAGTCTCAACTTAAGCCTTGTACTTGTTTTTGTGAAAAAAACTGATCAGGGCTTTGAATTTAGGAAACAATGCGGGTTTCTTAAAAAAGACATTAGCAATTTAATAATTAAAATTGGCTCTGAAACTTGTTTTTTCTTAGTAGAGTTACATGGAGAACCTATGATTACTGTAACTGAAAAGGAATAATGAAAAAGTATTGACCTTTTTTCCCTTTCCTTTGTATTTACTATGTACATTTGGCAGCATTATTAGTACATGTTTTCTTTCTTGCTTGTTTGCTTTTTTCCATCTGTGTCCTGGGGGAAAGGGGGAAGGAATGTGTGTGTGTGTGGGAGGGGGGGGGGGCGGGGGGGGGGGGGGGGGCGAGGGAATGGGAAAGAAAAACTTTTGAAAAAAAGGAAATATTCTTGTAAAAGCACTAAAAATTGGCAGGGAGCTTAAAAGCAGATGAAATAATAACTATTTTAACTTTTTTGTTAATTGACTGGAATTTAAGATGACACTCTCCTCCAAATCAAAATATTCTGATCCACAAAGCACCTAGGAAAAGCTTTATGTACATTGTCAGACCCACCGCACTCACACTGGACTAGGGCAAATTTGTAGTCACTTGAGGAACAAACAGACACCATGAAAAGGCTGTCAGCTGAGATGAATCATCATACTGACTATTTTAAAGACAAAATTTGGTATATTTCATAGATTTCATAGACATTAGGGCTGGAAGGGACCTCGGAAAATCATATGTTATACTTAGATCCAGCAGCTGCTCCCAGTGCCAGTTGTATCAGTGTTTGCAAATGCCAGGAGCCAAGGACGCAAGTCCCAGTAGGGGGAGGATGGGCATGTAGGTTTGCTGGGGGAGGGTCAGGGGGATAAAAGTAATCTCTGGTCCTCTCCAACCCCACCTCCCGATCCCCTGCAAGCCCCTCTGATCCCACTAAACCCTCCTGGACCCCAGCAACCCTATCTGCTCCTCCAATCCTCCCACAGATCTCGCCCACAGATCCCGCCCCCCCAATCCCTGTGTGGATGCTGCCTGCACCCCATGCCCCTGCAAACCCCCCCCAATCCTCCCCACAAGACTGCTTGCCCTGCTGATCCCCCCAGTCCTCCTGCTAGCCCCACCCACCTTAGATTGGATGACTATTTTAAGCTTGACGTAACCTCCCCAAAGATCTGTACTTATCCCAAATGTTATTAGTCCCAATTTATCCCAGGGGCTGCTAACACCTTTCTAGTCTCCACAGCAGACCCGGAAGTGAACCGGCAGTGCTTCTGGTCCACTTCTGGGTGTGCTGCTGAGTGCACTGGGGAGCTTCCCGTGCTTCTGTGGGATGCTCCATCTGCCCTAGCATCGCAGCATTCATGAGCCACCTAGTACCTCGAGGTATGTAGAAAAAACATTTAAAGCTGTGTCTATGTCCAAATCTCTGAATCTTTCCGAGTCTCTCTGAATCAATTCAGAGGGTTCCAATTGGATTCAGAGAGATTAAAGGGTCTCCTGAGTCGATTCGGATTTGAAGATTCAGCCACCAAATCCGGCTGAATCTCTGCCGAATCAAATTGGGGACCGAAGCTTTACACAGCCCTAGTGCATGCATACACCCACCCACCCACACATACACTCGCAAAGAACACCAAGCTCATTACTCTGAAGCCTTAAACTGTAGTCAAAGGCTGATGTCCTCATGGGGCAGGTCAGAACTACAACAGCTAGTCTCCTAACGGCTTTCCTCAGATACTCGGCAGTAAAAGAAAAACTTTCTTCCCTTAAGTTGGGCAGCTGTGCAAGGGCTCCTAATCTATGACTAATAAGAGGAAGCAGTGGTTGTACATAAATAAAATGTTGTAATCATTTAACTGTCTTTTTGAGAGATGAATCAATCCTTTTAATGAAAGACTAAGATGCTGAGTTGGGATGAGAAAAGAGAATAAGATGGAAAAAAGGTACATCTAAAGCTTGTAACAACAAAGGCAGTAAAGATCTCCTTTAAGGCATAGAACACTCTTTAATTTTAATCCTCCAACAACTATTTTTTTAATTTATAAAAATGATGGGACAGATCCTTCAACCCCATGCAGTCTTCTTGTGATGCTCAGGCAATGCAAAAAGGCCAAAAGCTTTCCCACCTGGGAACAGCCTCCAGCATGGAGGAATACCAGGGGGAAGTGAAAAGGGCATGAAAAGATGTATAGGGAATGTGGAAGGGGAGAGTGGTGACTGGCGCAATGCTGCACTACCACAACACTGTAGAAACCTATTACCAGCCAGCAGAATTTTAAGAGCAGCCCAAGTGCTGTTTTACCTTGCTCCTCTAGTTGAGCTGGGCTCCCCAAATCAAGAGAGAACTAAGTATAGATCAGCCAAGGCTGGATATCAGGCTTTATATTATCAGGGTATATGTGGATGATGTGTAAGGCAGAACTTATACCAAGCCATCAGTTTTCAGGTTTCACTTGCATTATAATCATCTTCTAAACTTTGGGTGAAACAACAAAGCAACATATTTGGCATATCCCTGTTCAATCTCCTATTGAACTCAATGGAATTACTTATTTAGTGTTCTAGCATAAATAAAGCTGAATTTGAACCAGAACCTTATTTTTTTTTTGCTTGAAGCACATGTTTCAGCCACCCGCATTCTTGATTCTGTTTGGATTGTAGTGTACATTAGTTATTTATTTGATATATTTATTTTATTTAGCCCCAGTCTTGCTTCCATTAAAATCAAAAGCAAACCCCCCATAGATATCAGTGGGAGCAAGTTCATGCCCTTAGTTGCTTATTGGACACCCACTGATGTGGCATTCAGATGTCTCACATGCAATTTAAAATAAACAAATCCAAACAAACGAGTAATCCAAGTGGATGATTAAAAAAAATTATGCTTTGTCTGATGGTAGCAAATGACTTAATTAAAAGCTTGAGTCAACACGTTATATACATATATACATAGTGCTTTTGCAAATAGGTATAATCATCTGTGGTTGTAATCAACTAGACAGTGTCAGTTTAGAACAAATCCCTAAGAGTCTTACCTCTGCTTTTATTTTATTGTCTCCAAAACAGAGATGCTGCAAGTAGGCTGCAGCATTGGACTGTACCGAGGGGAACTGATGCTGTAACATCTGTATAACTTCTGGAAGTTCAGGATCCCTCCATCCAAACTCCCTGTACAAAAAGAAACAAGAACAGGCTTAACAAAGATTCTGGTACCACAGAATTAATGGATCAAATGCATTCATCCACCATTGAAATATATAGCTAAATCCTAGAGAGTTCTTGTTATTTTCAGTGCCAACATGAACATAAACATAAAACTTATCTTCCCTTTTAAACTCTAGCAGTTTGGCAAAATGTTATGCAGGCTTAATCTGAATGATTTATTCTTTCATCAGTGTCTCTTTTAAGATTTAAAATAATCTAATCCAGTGCACTACAAGAAGCCCTGATAAAAAGAAATGAAAATAATCGTTTACATACACACATCCCGAGTTAAAATTTAACATGTTAGGGGCAAAACCCCAAATAGCTTGCTTTCAAATATCATGGACAGTAGAAAAGGCATTTTTGATTCTGAGATTTTTTTTTTTTGTTACAGAACACTGTTACATACTTTTGCATTGTCTTTTATTCATGCTGTTGAGGAACAAACTGAAAGGGATTAAATGCACCAATTTCACATAGCTGGTATCTTTTGAATCTCAACAAATGTTGTTTCTAACTCAAATAAATTAAAAATATATACGGACTTGGTTCTGTAATATTCTGACTGCTCTAAGCAGCAAATAAGACCAAGGGAATTGAAGGTCATTGAGCAAATCTCAACAAGTGTTTACCACCTTCGAGGATTGGCTCTAAGGCTAGGGACAGAAATTACACATAAACCAGTTAAAGTGATTGGAAACCAGTATAAAGCTGTAAGAGAACAGAAGTTTAGTTTCAATATGGCCAAAACTGGTTTAAGATAAATCTGGGTGGATACAGTGTAAGACTTAACTGATTTAGCTTAAACTGGTCTATCACAGTTCTGTCCCACATCCCCTCCTGCCTCAAGTTACCTCCCAGTCCCCCAACTTCCCAGGGTGCTTTGCACCTCCCTCACAACCCCTCCTCCCGCAGGGCAGCCCACTGGAACATGGCTAACTCTTGCTGCTCCAGCCCAGCACCTCACTAGCCCTGCCCCTGGGCTATCACAGAGCTGCTGCAGGTGGGAGAGAGAAGGAATCTCCTGAGCCTGGTGCCCACCTGTGCAGCTGGGCATGGGGTCATGGGGGTGGGGGTGGGCACTGCCTTGGGGAGCATCCCCCAGCCTGGGGAAA